ATACTGGTCAATTCCTAGATTGATGGCCGCTTGTGAATAGTATGCGTTCTAAACTTGAATGTTCTGCAAGGCTGATAGATACCGGTTCGTAATGAGAAAATCGGAGTCATGTGATCGAATTTCATTCCAGGGTGTTACATTTACCACAAACGCAAATACAGATGAGAAAGATGTGTATACATTTCTTCGCTCCAAAGCTACAGATTAAATATCAGTACACATTGGACACTATAGACTTGACTGGTAGAATGTAACGGTAGCGTACTGCACGAATTCATGTGTCATGTTAACCATTAATCGAACAGTGATATGATCATACATGTTGCACTTCACATAGAACCTAATGAAAGAATATAGATAAATATAAAACTTAATTTCTATATATACATAGATATGAATATAAGTTTAGAATAATGCACTGAGTTAGGTTGATAATAATAGTCCCCTTAGTAAAATAGTAGAGCTAGAATTATACAAGACATTTTTTCCACCGTTTTGTACAAATCGAAAATGTATTGTAGACCGAAAGATGATTATTTTATTTTTAATTTTTTGTTTTTAAGTGTGCGTTATTTGTAATTTTTCTCTTGGGGCTACCTGGAATGAAAAAAATGGTAAAGCCTGATGATGAACATGTGATGATTTGCGGAAGTACTAGCAACACAGGCACATCAAATCCATATTACAATTTTAAATATAAGGATCGCGTCATTCAACGAAAATTTAGTAAGTTAATACTCTATTAACTTTGTTGGTGAAGAGATTCCGCTATTAACTACATTAACTTTACTGATTACTACTTTGTATGATTACCTCTTTATAATATTACAGATACTGCACCATTTAATATATGCATAAAAACTGATCCGCAGTACAAAATTTCTGGAGAAACAAAAACGACATTACTTTAATTATTGGCCCCTTTTCAATGTCACGTTAACTGAAATACACTCAGAACAAAAATTTCGTGGATTTAAAAATGTTCTCACTAGAAAAAAAACAACATTAATACATATATTTTCGTCTTGGACGTAACTGAAATGAAAAAAAGATATTAAAGTCTGATGATGAAAATGTGACGATTTTCGAAAGTACTAGCAGAAGCGGAAAAAATCCATCTTACAATTTCAAACATAAGAATCCCGTTATTTAACGAAAAGTTATTAAGTTGACACTCTTTTAAATTTCTTAGCGAAGTGATTTCGTCATCAATTACATTACCTTTACTAATTATTTCTTTGTATGATTAACTATTTATAATATATATATACATATATGTGTGTGTGTTTATATTTATGTGTATATATATATATTCTTGTGTGTTTTAGAAAAATGTATGTATGTATGTGTGTGTATATACATACATACATATATATATATATATATAATTTAAATCTTCGTAATTTTATGTTTTTAGTTACTTTCCTTTACTTGTCACTATTTATTTATTTAATCGAAATGTTTATATTAATGGTTTTCTTCTTTTTAAAACATTTTTTAAAAACATTTTTGATATTAATATTTTCTATATTTATTATTATCTTAATCATGAACAATTTTTTTAAAAATTGTAACAGTTATGATCGATGAGGATGTTCCACTGCATGAAGTGAATAAAGATCTTAATGCATCTTTAATTATGTTCTTTTTTGTATATATACCATCATTTTCCTTGTCATGTCCGGAGAAATGAAGTATATTCTATGTCAACCTGTCGACTGACTTTTTAACCATTTTCCCCTTACTCTCTTTTCCATTCCTCACTCCCATATATATATATATATATATATATATATATATATATATATATATATATATATATATATATATATATATATCCCCCTTTACCCATTAAAAAAACAAACTTACTTTTGAAATATCGGTCTTCCCTCTTATTTTTGAAAGTCTTTTTTTTTTTAACCACTTTTACTTTCTTCTTCCTTTTTTCAGTATCTTTTCTCTTTTTCATTCTTTTTTTCTATTTACTCCCTTTTGCTTATGTCTGGATAAATTTAAAATCCAATTATTGTTGTATTTTCACATATAGAAAAATTTAACATATAGAGTAGTTATCATTATAGAAAAACACAGAGATATATAAATGAAGGAGAGGAGTGTGCACTCTTCTCTTTCATTTAGATTTCTATATGAGATTTTTATTTTCTATTGTGATAACTTCCTTATATGTTATTTTTTTCTATACGTGAAATTATTTTCGAGATGTGAAATTTACTTCTATATTTAAATATTTCTCGCCCTGTTACATTTTTTCTATATGTGCAATTTTCTTCTGTATTTAATTGTTTTTCCTCCGTTACCTATTTTTCACATACATTATTAGGCCTTTAGGGTTTTTAATTCCTTTATATAGCTCCATCTTCTTTTTGATTTCTTGTTGACTACCTTATAATAATACTATTTTTTATATATATTATTTAAATTTAATCCTTTACAGATTTTTTAAAATTATTCTTATTAGTTTGATATAATTTAAATTATAAAATTAATATTTGAAATATTATAAATATTATAATGATGTAATGGGATTGGTTTTATTTAAAGGAAATGAATATATAAGCAATTTACTTATTTTTTTTTTACTGTAACTTTTACTATATAGTTAAAGATATAGTATTGACTGGATTAATATTAACATCTTTTTACAAAAATATTACTTTTGGATTCTTACTCAGATTCTATGATATTTAAAACAAACTACTAAATTAATTTCTTTCTCATCATTTATGAGGATTTTTCATTAACATATAAGTTGCCCATATAAGTATGACGTCTCTGTGAGCTGTTGTCAAATCACTCTCACTGAACAGACTTCTCTATAATTAAAAGTCCACTTGGATTTATCACAAGCTATTATCCATACTTTAATAAAAGGTCAATATATTTATTCATTTAAAAGTTCAATATATTTATTCATTTATTATGATTTAAACTTGGTTGTTCACCGACTAGGCTTGACGTTGCTTCATTTTGGTGATGGCACGGGAATTGGTTTTTTAGCCTGATGTAGCTGTAAGCCTTACTGAGGTAAACATCATCTCTGAAAATTTGTATGGTCTTTTTTGTCCATTATTTTTCTTTGTACTGGTATTGATGAGTTACATTTATACCAGTGTCGATTTTCAATCGTCGCGTTTCTCTGTACACGACTCAAGCAGAGTCATCTTAGGTCCCTTATCCTTCTATATCTATATTCTATATCTGATCAGCTCTGAGGGGGCCGATTTGGTGAGGTCAGTATGATGTTTGAAAGACCCGAAACTGCCCAATGATCCATCTCCAGAATATCACTGATGACGCCCTATAGCGCTAAAAGAACGTATATTCAAAGTATAACTCCCATCTATATTAAAGGACAATTCTTAAACCTTCTTCTTTTTTTCTTTCTTTCTTTTTTCTTTTGTCCTTCTTTCCTTCCTTTGCCTTTGAAATTTTCTGTAACATGGCAATTCACTCATTTTAGTAAATCTATTTGCATTGATAAGTCCAGGGAAAAACTACTTTCACATGCACGAATTTATCATCTGGTAAATTGTTTGGATCTCATCAATTATAATTCACACACACACACACACACACACACACACAGAGAGAGAGAGAGAGAAACACGCACACATACAGGCACACACGCACTTACACACACACACACATATATATATGAATATATTTGTGTGTGTGTGTGAGTTTCCACATAATTATATAATTAATTCAGGCGTGTATATATTGAAAATCGATGTTTAATTTGATGGTTTCATTTATGAAGCCTGTGGTAATTTTTATTTCCCCATTATAAATTAAGTCCATATGAATCTATGTTGATAACTTGAAACGAAACGGGCATCGATAAATTCATTGGAGTGATTAAAATTCGTCGATACCATATGGAACATATAATCGATAACGACAATCGCACAAAGTGTCTGAAGCAAAACTGCCAGCTAATCGATAAGTAACCCGAAGTATGACATCCTTTGTTAAGAGTAACAATCTCTTTGACAGTCAATCAATCACGTTCTTTACTAAAGGTTTTGGTATAGCTAGCATTAATCATCTCTAACCGCCACAGAAAAAACAAAAATAAAATAAATAAAAAATCTTTCTGAGTGTTGTATAGATGAAAATATTATCTACTAGAATTTGGCTTTGTATTAATTACGTTATTTCAAGAATTCAAAACAAGAAAAGATTTGCAAATTTGGAATCCATTTTTTTAAAACTGAGGGCTTCTTAAATCTAATAACTGAAAATGCTAAAGTCAATATTTACAAGGAAAAATGAAAAATACATGAAATTCCACACAAGTTTGAAAGCGTGATTAAAAAACAGATATTCATATTAACACAACAATAAATGTATGAGCTTATTCAGATATGTATGTATGTATGTATATCTCTCTCTCTCTATCTTTCTATCTATCTATCTATCTATCTATCTATCTATCTATCTATATATATATATATATATATATATATATATATATATATATAGTGCTGGGCAAAGGTAAGTGAAATGCTGAGATATTAAAAAATATTTATTTCTTTTACAGATAATCAAGAAATCTTTATTAAACTATATATTCATTAAGGAAAATCTTTATTCACCGAATTACAATCGATGCGATAAATTTTCATTAAGCAGGAATGAAAATATTATTTAAAAATTATGATGTGCAAAAGTATCTGGAAAAAGAGACAATTTAATTTTATATTATCTAAGGAATTAAATTACGTTTGTGTAGCTATACAGACATATACACACAAACACAAACACACACACACACATATATATATATATATATATATATATATATATATATGTATGTATGTGTGTGTGTGTGTGATGTTAGTCAATGAACTCCCTTGAAATAATAATTATAGTAACAGAATTTATCTGGGTGAAGTTTGTGCCCAGTGGATCTGTGCTGCGTCAGAATTTTTAATAAAACATGTCAAAACATATTATATATATGAACTATTTAATACCAATTGGTAAGAAGAGACTGCTCGTTTAGTAATGAGGGGGAGAAGTCAGTAATCAGGTTGTAAATGAGTCGTACCAGTCGACGAGAGAGAGAGAGAGAGAGAGAGAGAGAGAGAGAGCGAGCGAAAGCGTCCGCTTGCAGCTGTGATAAGTTTAATGCATGCTGTGTGAATTAATTACGGCCACTACTAAGAAGTGTGAACCAAAAAGCTAATTCTCTCCTTTCAGAATTATTTGCAATATATTTTTCTGGACTTTATTGGTTATAGACTACGTTCTTGTAAAGGAAATATTAGTCTTTTTGTATCATATTCTTCTTTATATACATCCAAGTAAATTTTTCTTTGGACTCGAATCGACTTGTTCATATTTGATTTTTTTTCTGCTTGGCCCGATTTTCGTCCCAAGGATCTTGAAGGTAGACCAGCTGAATCTTCCGTGGTCTACGATTTGTTAATTGCTCTCTAGGATTAAAAAATGACAACGTGAGTGGAAAGTGGAAATGAATCGACATTGCGAAAGAGAGACATTGCTTGAGCCAGTAATACACGACCAAGACAGGACCATATAGTTTACATCGATCCAGTGGGGTCAGGATTGGTGTCATATATATATATATATATATATATATATATATATATATATATATATATATATATATATATATCAGGTCATCCTGAATTTTATATTTTGTTAAAATGAACGAAATTTAAAGAATATTTTATAATGTCTAATGGAGTTGAACATTATTTTTATGTTTAGATGCATTTAAACTGATCAAATTTTATTTCAGAGAACAATAAAATTAAATTTTGTTTGATTAAAACCCTGCTAACATGGAAGTACCCAAGAATCATTTGAGGCACATAATGTTTCATGAGTTCAGGAAAGGAAACTCAGCAGCCGAAGCAGCTAGAAACATTCACTCAGTTTATGGAGAGGAATGTGTGAATGAAAGAACTTTCAGAAGATGGTTTGAAAAATTCAGAGGTGAAGATTTCACCCTTGAAGTTGAAGATGGAACCGAACGTCCAGTTGAGTTTGATGTAAAGATTCTTGAAGCAGCCCTTGAAAAAAATCCTGCTTTAACAGTTGAGGAATTGGCAGTGGTTCTCAGTTCAAACCATACAATTGTTCATCGTCATCTTCAACAACTTGGAAAAGTTCCTAAACTTGGAAAATGGGTGTCTCATGAATTTTCTGAAAACAACCTCAAATCCCGAGTTGATATCTGCTCTTCTCTCCATTTTCGCCAACTTGTTTCAGGTTTTTTGGATAGACTTATGACTGGCGACGAAAGATGGATCTTTTATCGAAATGTTAAGCGTCGTAGACAGTGGCTTGGTAAAAGAGAAGGACCCCAGCCACAGCCGAGAAGGTAACTACATGGACAAACGGTTCTTCTTTCAATCTGGTGGGATTGCCAAGGAATAATCCACTTTGAATTCTTATCACCTAATGCAACAATTAATGCTCAAATATACTGTCAGCAATCAGAGCGTTTGAACCAAGCTTTGAGGAAAAAAAGACCTGCTCTAGTGAATTGAAAAGAGGTGATATTTCATCAGGACAATGCGCGACTCCACACAGCAAGAATCACGTCACAAATGATCGAAGAACTTGGTTGGGAGAAAATTCCTCATCCACCTTATTCTCCCGATCTTGCTGCATCAGACGACCATTTGTTTCGTAGCTTACAGAATCATTTGGAAGAAACAGCTTTTGTAACACAGAAAGAGATTAAAACTGACATTTGTGAGTTCTTCGAATCAAAGCCAAAAGAATTTTACAGTAATGGAATTAGTAAGCTTGTTAATAGATGGAAGGAAGTCATAGATAATCAGGGAAAATACTTTGTTGATTGAATCTGTAATTAAATGTAACATTTGGTGACTTTGTTTTCAAAATTCGGATCGAACTTATGGGATGACCTGACATATATATATATATATATATATATATATATATATATATATATATATATATATATATATATGTGTGTGTGTGTGTGTGTGTGTGTGTGTGTGTGTCATTTTGACCGAGGGTTTGGGCGTGCTGGGCTTGTAATTAAGGTCCGTTCAACATAGTTGCCGTATACACTACGAGTGCGCTCTGTGAATGTTGAACAAACACAACTTTTTCTGCATCGGGAGACTTAGATCATCGGATACTATTGGATGCGCCATTTACACGCACACACACGCACACACATACTCTCTCTCTCACACACACACACACACACAACACACACACACATATATATATATATATATATATATATATATATATATATATATATATATATATATATATATATATAATGCTAATATTATTAAAAACAACAGTCATGTCTTGATTAATTTTACTGATCACATTTTCAAAATTGCAAATAAATTTTCTGAGTCAATGATGAAATTCTGTCAGAAATTTTCCGAAGGTTATTTTTGAAGAACTATTGCTTCAAGATTTCGACTTTCTGAAGTTAACAAGGTAAGTAGAGACAAATGGCGAGTTCCGTATTAATGATGTGGCCTGGGATGCTGTGACATAGACAAGGTGTGTATTGTGTGTGTCATGCATTTGACGATGCGGCCACATAAATTTTAAGTGTTCTTTTTTTTATAGATGATAGTTTTACTGTTTTGCTTCAAGAATCATGCGTATGTTTTTACCATTTGGTTTTGCTACAAATTGGCATTGCTTTTTGAGTAGCTCTCTGATGTTATTTTGATCTTTATGCTGCTTAATAATATGTTGTTTGGTAGCGCTCTTGTTCAGTAGCTGACATGAAATATTCCGTAAGAGAGTTACAGCGAAACATGCTTCTGGTGGGCAATTATATTCATAGAAAGCGTTCATCTTCTATAATGGCTTTGTAATTTGGAATATATCATTTTTAATAACTTGTTTGCCCATCTTTAATTTTTTGTAGTAAATAATGTGTCTTTTACAGACTGGTTTTAATTATCTTAAGGCAAGAGTTATAACTAGTAGAGTTTTCTATGGAGATGTGGTAAAAATATCCTTGTTATAGTCAATGAGAATATACAGACATCTGATGTTGTAATCAATTTTACGTTCAAAATTTAACTTCATGAACGTTTGTAAATTTGAAAATTAAAATTTCTGAACGACCTGATTTAATTTATAAAAAGTAACTGATGAAATTTTTCTTATTTCTGTGTATGCATATTTGTTGCAAAATACAATAATTATATTTGCCTTAACGTTCATGGATAGATGAAACTCTTCGGCTACCATACACTTTCCTTTTGTCTTTATGCATATTCTATCTTTAAAGATAAACGTTTTAGTTACATCCGATGTTTACACAGACACGCAAACGCCAAAACACAAACTCTCATTTCTCGATTCTCTTGTACTTTTATTGTTGTATGAGGGTGTTATTTGTTTCTTTTCGCTTGAAGCATGTTAATTTATTGTTGATTATTCTTCCTCTTTCCTCTTATTTTTTTATTTTTTTCACTTTTATATTTTCTTTTATTCTTTCCTCACATTCTTCCTTGGGCTCTGGTTTACGCATATATAAGCACGTTCGCTCACGCACTGACATACACCCCCCCCACATATATATATATATATATATATATGCATTCATGCAAAGGGTCGATGTATGCAACGCATGAACTGCTAGTCTTACTTTTTCCTCAAGATAAATAAATAATTAATTATAAAAAAAAATTAATTACGTATTATTTTCACTATCTTCTTTGTGCTTGCATTTATTTTATTTGCTATTTCTTCATTTCTTTGGATAATTTTCACAAGCAATATTATTTAAGGAGTGTAAGGAGAGAAAATGATTATTGTATATCAAAAAAAAGATGCAAGTAAAAGCAATGAATTTACTACCCTTTTTATTAAGGAGGATGAGAGACAGAATATAATAATGAGTGGGTGAAAGAGAGACAGTCACCGAAAAGAAGAAATTATGTTGCTTGTGTTAGAAAAGGTCGTGGCTTTAGACTTCCTGATATAGTATACCCTTCAAGCTGGGTGCATGAACAAAAGACGCAGAATAATAAAGTAGGAGGTCACAAAGAGAAAGCCACCGAAAAGCGGAAATTATTTTGCTTACTTTCCAATCGTATCAAGCCAGCAGACAATCACTACCGAAGTGATAATATTTTCAGTGCATGCGGCTGAAATCAATGATTTCCTCTACAAAGAAGTTATAGTCGGTTAGATTGAGACGAAAAATTGTATCATTCGCCTATGAATAGTATATAGGTAACGTCTGACGACTTTGCTGCCATAACAATAGTTCTTTTTTTTGCTGACTCTTAAATCTTTTAACCGATAGAGAGTATTCTTGACTCCTTCTTAAGACACGGATTCAGTCTAGTGCCCATTACCCAGAAAGGTTTTGACCAGTTTATAAGTGGAGCGAAAATGAGCGACCATCGACGTCTATTTTTTGTAATTAAAATAAAGTTTTCATCCGTTTAAATGACTTAAGATTTCATTTTAAATATTCAACATTATTATTTCAAGTTATGTAAAATATTTTTTGATTGAATTGTATATTATTTCATTAAATATGTTAAATTTTGTTACAGGACATTTTTAAAAAACTTACTGCAATACCTAATTTTAAATTAAAATTGGAAGTATATAAATTCAAATGTTATGTATTAATGTTAGTGCTATTTTAATGAAGAAAAGTAGAAAGTAATCGTAAAAGAAGCAATGGTTAATTAAAACAAATAATTAAGACAATCTTAATTTTGTTTACGTGAAAATTACGAATTTTCACTATTCTAGTCATCAATAAACGCAATTTTCTGTCACCTGTCGTCAAGCGACAAGAAACTTGTTGAATTTTTTTTATAAATTAAAATAAAATATCTACGACTCGTTAAAATAGAAATTTGATATACTGTTAAACAAGATTAAGATTAAATAACTTATTTGTTTTCCTTAAAAAGCAATGATAAACAACTTTTCTTGCGAAGGGGAGTCTTTTTCGCTCTCTGTCTTGCAGATTAGCCTGCACACCCCGGTTTCCAAGTTAGCATTCGCCACAGATATATATATATATATATATATATATATATATATATATATATATATATATATATAAGCGTAGGAAGGAGAGTGTACGCTGAGAACTTAATGTTTTTTTATATAATTTTGTTTATGTATTCTAACCGATTTTAATTATTATTATTTTTTTTCATGTTTCTATATTTTAACACCTGCAAGCAAATTGACTGAGCATGAAATTAGCGATTTCGTTTCTGGAAATTGCTTTCTCTTTGAATAAAAGTACCATTTTTTAAAATCAAAATTATGGTCAGACCCATTACAGTTACTAACTTTTGCGATGTCAAAGAACAGTCGTTGTCACTTTTGTAATGCTCGTTATGCCGTTGAAGAATACTGGTGTCAGACGCCTTCGAATTGACACTCGCACTAATAGTACTTGATTTATAATACTCGCTCGAACAGTAAACCGTATAGTGAAATGGTATAGTTAAATAGAGTAGACCATAGCGGTTCGTATAGAGGATATAATGGAAATAGCGATCCGAATAGTAATCACTAGCAGTAGAGCCCGGCGTTGCCCGGGGATGTAACAGTAAGAGATAGATCAAGTATCGACCATCATAAAGACTGAAAAATAAAATTGACAAAGATCATTGTTTAAGGTTGACGGACACGCATGTCTTAATTAGTTTTTTTTTGTTTATTTTGTTTGTTTTTTTACGAATTAGTCAAACTCAAACATTAACATTGTTTTCAATCGTTATTAGTCTATCGATTGAATAGAATTTTATTATAAACAATTGTCTTGTAAATGGAATTTTAAAGCATTCTGAACGTAAAAATGAAGGAAAAAGTGTGCAAGACAATAAGAAACACTACCTGCCAAAAAAAAGTGAAGTTTTGTTGAAATCGGTTAAAAAATGTAGGAAATCCGCTCGCATATATAAACGAACACACATACACACAAACAACCCGGGTTTTATAATAAGTATAACTCGATATGAGTTGTCCCCCTTTAATTCTAGCGATGCCTCTTAATCGTGTTTTCAAAACGATTTCGTGCAAAAACAATTGTGTTTTTCCAATTTTTGTCGCTGTCGGAACCACCGCAAGGTAATTTTACGCAGTCCTGTGAAGTTTTGTTGAAATCGGTTGAAAAATGTAGGAAATCCGATTCAATATATAAACGTACAGACAGACACACACACACACACACACACACAAACAAACAATCTGCGTTTTATAATAAGTAAGATCATAGACTCGAATGAAGATCAGTTATGCGCTTCCTCTATGGTCACATGATCTACTTAATTCAATAATGAGATTACCTGAGGTTTGCTCACTGGCGATCTATGTTCAAACTCAAGTGTCGGCAGTGATACTTTATTCGTATATAACAGCGATATATTGAGTGTATTGTTTCGTAAAATATCCCTTATGAGAGCATATAATCTTTTATTTAAATTCCTTATGGTTTCACTTATGGATTACTTATGGTAATCGTTACAGTTGATTGAGTACATTCCTCCTACAGGTTTTAGCTTATTATTTACTGTGTATTAATTAAGACATTTTAGAAGTAATTATAACAACTTTTATGCGAAGCTTAGATAAATGTTTTCTCGTGTATGCTTAACATATCATGTTTATATATGTGTGTCTGTGTCTGTGTACATATATACATGTATATAATAAATTTTTAAAATGTTTCTATGGATATTGTTATCTATTTTTCAGTATCGACGTCATTACTTCTCTAGATCTTAACAATATCATTAAAAACAGGATTTATGAAATATATATTTGGAAAATATTTTTCAAGATTACCTTCAAGTGCTTAATCTGTACTGTCAACGCCAGAATATATTTCTCAACTGAAAGAAAAGAAAACATATCGTATTTTTAAAAAATGAAATTATTAAATACTTATTAGTGCTTAAATATTTTCAGCAATAAAATGTTTTGAATTGAGTATTCAGTGTCTATATTTAAAAAATATGGCCTCGCAATTGTGTCAACACTTATTAAGTTGAACAAGGATTAACAATTGCCTTAATGTCTGTTTAGATCATTACGTAGATCAATTTGCTTGTCTTATATCCATACTCACTTTCACCAATGTAACTTTTCATTAGACAAAGGTATACTTCTTTTTTTTACGAGCCTGATTTTTTCTGGACCAGTTGGTAACAACTCTCTACAATTTCCTATCATTGTAGCTCTCAGTAATCTTTTCACCTTACTTACTAGTCTTCCTTCTACCATCCATTTGCATAAGTTCGATACTAAGGCAACTCGCTGCTTACTTCTCTCCCCCTTGCCTTCAATGTTTCCTGTAACTATCACATTCTACAAACCCTCTTTCTTCATTATGCCTCCTAGTAATTGCAACCGTATCTTTCTAAATCTAAGATAAACCTTCTATTTGTTCTTGCTTTCTTTTTTTTCCCCAAAAAAACATTTTCTTACTCACATGTTAAGTCCATAGATCTTTTTGTCATTTCACCCTTAGCATCGTAATAAAGCCATTCAAATTTTAATGTTTACTGAGTGTAGAAAAATATAAGAAAAAGAAAAAGAATTTTATTAAGGAGAGAGAATAACAAAATAAACCAAATAAAAACAGAATATTTTAAAGATCAAATTTGACTGGAAATCAAATCAACAGAACATATGATCACAGGCGTGAATTGCGAGAAAAAACTGTTAGTATTAAAAATACTGTTATATCGAGCCATTTCATCTATGAAAATTATGAGACATTGCCGTCTGTCTAGTACTGCGCATAAATTAATAGAGTCTAGGTAACATAAAACAGTTAATCAGAACAATTACAGCAATCATAAATAGATGTTCATTTTTTTTATTGAATGCAATGCGATTGGAATGGCGTTTGGACGGAAGAGCAATGTATTTTTCTTCCCAAATGAAGGTTGGGATGAGGAATTATCATTATTTACACTATTTATACTCGGATTATTGTCCTCTTCTTTGCTGTTGTTCTCATACTTTTCGGACGTTGTGATGTCCGGGCTTCACCAGATGTAAGTTACAGGGAATTTAGAACTGAAATGTTTAAATGTGTTGTTCTCGTTCCACTTCTCATGTCTAGGAATACCGTCTAGTTATGGTAACAGCAACAACAACAACAGCAAAGATGAGGATACTAGTCTACGTTGCTGAAAGTTAAGCAAAAATCTAAGGAATACCTAGAATTGTTAAATATACTTTTTTCATTTTTTACCACTGGCAATATGGAATATCACATGTATTCCTGAAGATAAATTCACATGTTAATATAAACGATAGAAATTTTGAACACACAGTTATAGTTAAAGGTACATCTTTCATGTTTTTAGGGCATTTGGGACATCATTAAAGACATGTTTATGATCAGTGATTGTAGTTCAAAGAAATGAAAGAATAAGCAAATCAGTAAATTTTTTTACTGAAATTAAATTTACGATTTGAATTCAAAAGCAAAACGTGTAATTATCAGTTACACTACTTTTAATTAAAAAAAATCCTGATGTCCCAAACTGCGGAATGTACGAATTACCAAAACTTAAATTAACTTTACATTAATTGCTTCTAACTTAAAACTAATTTTAAAATCGTATTTCAGTCAGAAGTTTTCGTAAATTTATTCCCAAATAATTTTGATTCTCTTAAATATAAGTATGGATTTTACCAAACATATTTTTTTTATTTTTTAAAAAATTATAATCTCTAATTTACATGATTAATGCACATTCCAATATCTTCCTGGGGATTTTATCAATTCTATGTTAAATTACCGTTAAAAGACAGCGTATTGGCAGTGCTACAATATACTTCTTCGTTTACATTGTATAGTCTACAAAAAGACGTTTTCGAAACCTCTTTGTAACGTTGTATAAATGTTGTACAAACGTCGTTTTGAGAGTTTGGTTTTCGCTTGGTTTATTTTGTTTCACGGGATATCAATATCAATGGGTTATTTAATGCCGATAAGATTTTTTAGGATAATTCCATGTGAAAAAAAACCTATTCTTTGTAAGAAATCATATTTTAGATCAGGATTCATTGACGTATGTTTGCAAAGAGAGTTTTTGTTGAGGATCATATGTATTGCTGGTAATACTTTTTTTTCCAAAATGAACTGCTTTTTCCCAAAAAAATTATTGCAGTTATTTTTACTATAATAAATTACTTTTATATTTTCATAGTATTTTGACCAGAGTATGGGGGTCATCAATTTGCCCATAGCTGGGACCTTAACAGGTGTTAGCAGCCGGTGTCTGGGTGGACCTGTGAAAATAAACAATGAAGAGATAGTTTCTCAAAATCTCCCAATCAGAGCCATTTCTGCCAGATGTAGTTTATTGTCATACCAAGACGACGTCTTGTTAGCTGGTCTCATGTCTTAAATTTATCACTGCGTACGTTAGTGGATTTACTTACAAATTATATTTCATTAATCTAATAACTGCATGGGCACCTCGGTGTGGTGTAATGTTTAGCACGCTTGTCTTGCTATGTCAGTTACTACTGAAAAGTGAGTTCGATCCTCACTGGATGGCCCATGCTTTCGGCATTGTGCCACATCTAAGCTTCACTTGGAATATCTTTAATCTAATAACTGCAGCTCACAGAAGAACATGGAAATCTGTGCGAAAAAATTATGGTCACTTGATACCTCTACGCTTCCACGACGACATATGGAAGTGTAGATCATCCCAAAGAAATGTTTAGTCATTGACAAAAGAAATAGATGGTCTTTGGGATGTGTTTCTTTGTCATGGTGACATTGTAATTTCTCTCAGAAATATTATTTATTCTCAAGTTTGCTCAGCAATGTCTGTCAAAGATATGAAGCATTATAAATCACAACAAGTTCGTCGGCCAAAGAATGGTATTTGCTAACCATCTTCTATTTATGTAGAAATTACGATCCATTTAAACGAAATATAGTGAAATATTGCTAACGTGAAAGCGATAATATTTACCTAATAGACATAATGTGAGAATAAAAAAATATAAAGAATACACTTAAATGTATATTTTAGTCAAAAATAGAGCTTAGCAATGAAACTATTATAGATAAAGTCCAAATTATTGTTCTTAATAGCGAAATAGAAGATATACATTGATATTAAACGGATTAATTCTAATGTATATCTATCTATCTATCTATATATATATATATATATATATATATATATATATATATATATGTGTGTGTGTGTGTGTGTTTGTGTGTGTGTGTGTGTGTAAAAATATATAGAAAATAGGAAAGAAGTCGTTAGGTAAATAATCCAAAATTCTTTAGTATTTTTATTATTATTTTTTAAAAATAGTGCTCGATACAAAAGGAGCATAAATATAATTATTTATTTAAAAATATGATTCCATCGCTACATAAGAGTTCTCATGTTTCAAAACAAGAGCCGATAACTTCAATATAATTATTTGAATTAAATTAAATTAAAGTACCAAGCTCTGTTCCATCTTCAAGCGAATTTTTTTTTAATAACTAAATCCTGAAATTTACGCGTTTTATACGCATATTCATTATTAAAATTAAAATTACTATGGTAACAGCTAGAGCAATTGTTTAAAGAAAAGGGGCGTAAGGGTTAATAATTTGTATCAATATCTCAGTTATATTCAAAGACGTCAAGTCAGGGTAAGGCTGGGGTGTCTAAATTTAAAGCGGAAGATGACATCGTCTAGTCTGGTTAAGTGTGACCTTAAATTTCGCTTGAAGATGGAACAGAGCTTGGTACTTTAATTCAATTTAATTCAAGTAATTATATTGATGCTTTCGGCTCTTGTTTTGAAACATGAGAACTCTTATGTAGCGATGGAATCATACTTTTAAATAAATAATTATATATATATATATATATATATATATATATATATATATATATATTGAATAAAAGCATAATCCCAGTATCTTGTTAGTTGTTCTTAAAGAAACATGTATAAAAAAGGGATTGTTTTTATTAAATTTTTCTTGTGTTTGTACAAATGTTTTTCTTTTCTGGATACAAAGTGTGTAAAAATGTCCAAATGTTTTGCATTTCCGGACGCTTTCAGCTATAATTTTACGACGATTTTACTTTTAATTTTCAACTGAATGAATGGATTGAGTTTATATATAAAGGGAATTATATGGGTGTTTTATTTTCCACAAACAATCAGCACGTTTTGGCCGTTTTCATAGTAATGTTAATGAATGTTGGCTTTAATCTTTTTTCTTTATTAGGTTTCCATTATTTTTTTATTCTTGTTTTTCACGTGGATAATTTTTTATGCCTGCATTTTCTATTATTATGCTTCGGATGGGGTCTTTTATGTTGGCGTGTGTGTTTCAATGAGTTCTAATTGAGTTGTGATCAGATATGTGTAACATAAGACGTCTGCATAGGCATGTAGTTGTTTGAACGATGTTATTATTTATGAGTTTGGTTTTGTCCCTTAAGGTCATTTGAACTGGTAGATAATGTTTGTTCTTTTAATCTTTTACAGGCATGTTGGCATTTTTGAGAATAATTTTAGTTATTTTAAATTTTTTGTAACTGAAAATGAATTTAATATTTTTTTTCAAGTCAACTGGGGTTGTATATTTCTTTATGATATTTTTAAGTGAAGATCCATCATGCTTACAGCTGGCGTGCATATGGCATTTGTAGAAGATATGTTTTTGTCTTAGGAAACCTGTTGTTAACTATTGCCTGTTTTTGCGTTTTTGAATTCTTTAAGGCAAAATAGAAAATGAATTTTCGTGTGCTCTCTTTAGGATATATTTGATTACTACTATTTTGTATCTAAGTGGGCATTCATTCTTAAAATTAATTTGCAAGAGTGTCTGCTAGTGGGCTTTTTATACAGTGAGGTGGTGAATG